TTACATAAATAATATGTCAAATTTATCAGATTTCAAGTCAAAATTTTTGGAATTTTTTTTTTTCAATTTTTTTGAAACCCAAAAGCGACCCCAACAATTTTTATTTTTTTTTATTTTTAAGTTTTCGTGTATGTCTTTTATCTAGAACCAAATAAAGAGGCCCATACAAAATTTAGTTGTAGATAATTTGGAAGACCACCCTAATATAGTGCATGTTTATGCAGTTGGGTAAATGTGTACAATTGCAAAACTAACACAAATTGCACTTGGCGCTTTGGTGAGGAAATTCAATTTTAAAAAGTCACATACGCTGTTGAGCGGCAGGGATTTGCACATGCGTGCGATGCCGAGTGCAGCTTTTTCGTTGGTGGATAGTTCGTGCGAAGGACTCATTGGTATTGGTAAATAGTTGGTTTTGCGACGGAAATATAACTGTATTTTTATGGGCGCGCGTGTGTATTGTAGAAGCTTTAAAAATAAAAAAAAATTAAGACTTTTATCAAGCATTAGGGCTGGCCGTATAGTCACTGCTGCTACACTGTGCAATAACATTCTACGCATTTGACGAAAACGAAAAATTTAGTGAAAGTTTACACCTCTCATAAAAAAATACCAAACGAATTTTTAGCCTGTACTAGAACTGGAATTGACAATATAATTTGTGGAGGTACCCTAATGCGCGTGAATACATTCATACTTACTTGGTGAAAAGTACCAAATATCCTAAGCATATTCGTGCGTCCGCTGCATGGTCATTACTGCCAAAGATTAATGCTAATCGGATAAGTGGATGCAGTGGGAAAACGTACATACGTATGTACATATGTCTGTATGTAAACGCAAAAGCGCAGAATGGTTGCGCAGAGATTTTCAATAAAATTTTCAATGTGGTTGGAAATGCATACATATTGAATATGCTTCAGTGTCCTATACGTCAGTGCCGGCTTGTTTAGAAGGCGACATACACAGCTAAAATGCCATACCGAAAAATGGTACCCAAATGATCAACCGGGCAACAAAGCTCTTCTCTGTGGTGGGCTAAGAAATTGATTCACATTGATTTATAGCGATTTTAAATTTATTGAGAATTGCAATTGAGGTACAAGAGATATGGAGTACACATGTGTACATATGTATGTATGTGTGTGCGAGTATCACTACATGCAGCGCAATAAAAAATAATTGGAGACATCTATGCGGATCATAAATATTGCATAGCACAGGAAATGCTATAAAGTTCTACGCACTTAAGCGCATATCATAAATCACAACATCTGAATGATTTAATGCAGCGCATTAACTGAATGCATTAAAAGCTCGTGGACTTTGATTACCTATCATTACAATTTTATCATTTAATTTAATATTCGTTTAAATATTTTATGTAACTCCATCACATTCTAATTCGAAATCAAAATTTACCGACAGCTATAAATTTCATTACTGATGTTAAGGATCTTTGATTTTTGTTAGCTCGCGGAAATTGTACGAAATGAAAGTATATCGTCGATATTTTTGCGAAACCGCCCATCGACCGGTTGCAAAGCCGCCTAAATCGCCGTTGCGCCAAAAATGAGATTTGGAACCCTGAACTCCAGTTATTGAGATCTATGCATAAAAATCATAAATCGTTGTTAAAACGACGATAAAAAATACAGCCTGTCAAGGCAATGCCTTCAAAGAAAACCCGTTTTTTCGCTTTCCTGCGTAATATGAGTGTCGTAAGATAGGCGGTTTGCAGTTAGTCGGTGGGCGATTTTGCAAAAACATTGACGATATGTGTAATTATCGAATGCTATGCTCAACCACTAGGTAACCAAATTGTATCCATATTCAACAAAAATGAATGTCCTTTCTGGCGAAAGGACAGCTAACGAGCTTGAGAGGTGTATAAGGCCTCTACCACTACCCATTACTTACTGCCTTCTGCGTTTACTCATAGCAAGTCTGGCGGAAGACCATCTGCGTCCGCAAAATAGTACCAATCTAAGAAGTGCAGCTGGTGCGTCTTTTATCGGCAAATCACTGTCATTTCCGTCGATTCCGCAGTGACCTGCTGCATAGCACAAAGACGAACAAGACACTCCTTGGAGAGCTTGAGGGTGTTGGATATGATGCTTGTGATTACTTTGCCATCTGAAAAGATAACTATAAATGCGGTTTTCAAAACACTTTTCAATGTTTCATCTGGCACAGGTATGTTGGGATTGCTAGCATAAACACCAGCACCTATTCTGTCCGCCATCCGTGATCTGTGTGCCAATGTATGGATTTTAATCTGGAATATTCTGTCGAAACAGATTTATTTTAGAATGGAGTCAAAAAGCTCGCAACATTCCAATCCTGGTGTTTTATCCAAACCACCTTTCTACTGCTTCGTGTCATTAAAAGTAATGCTCTCTCGAGCCTGCTGCGGTTTGAACTCTAAAATTTAGAATAGAGTCCATGCCCGAAGAGAAAGCATGGCCGCGGTTGAAAACGATGACCGCGAGCATCAGCCTTTGAACTTTGTTAAAACGTAATACGGCAGAATTTCGGAGACATAGGCACCACTCGGATGGACTATTGTACGGTATAGCCATTCTAACAACTTAGAGTTCAGACTCAGTGTTCGACTAAAAAGTCTGCCACAACCCAAATAGTTCGGGTGGCTTTGGTAAGCGTCTTGTCTGGGTGAAAATTCCAACTTAGTCTCTTAGCAAAGATATCAACAACATTGGCTTCAACAAATGCAGATCATGTCATCATTAGTACATCATTAATATTTGTATTTGCATTCATTTTACTTTTGTTTATGCTTATCTAACTCAATAAATGGCGGCTTTTCACATTTATTTTTCTTCTGCTAGCTAATTTCTGCTAGTAAAAATTTCACTAGAAAGAATTTGCAGCTCTCCCGTCTTATTAAGCTCTCGATTCAGTGCGCTCTTGAAAATTTTTTGGGTTATTTTACTAAGAAGGCACAGAAGTTCGTCTACCACTATGGACCATAGCAGTGGGCATATCACTTCCCTCTGCGCGCAACCTTTCGTAGTTAGGGGTCTGACTCTCTCCTGTCTTAGAGTGGATGTAATGGTTCTGAATTTTCAACCCCTTTGTGCCAGACGCAATTGTCTATTAGAGAGTGTTCCGTGTTATCAAAAGCACCATCCGCATCCTTGAAACGCCCCATCGCCACAGCTTCGCTCTCGACAGACTTTTCAGTTTTTCTTGTCCAACTCTGAAGATCGTGGTATACCACCTCCAACATCTTTCCATGAAGTTTCGACCTGTCAGTGAAAAGGTTCACTGCTTCCTTACCGGCAACTCTAGGCCGATGTTAGCTGATGTCACCGGTTTTTTTAAGCTTGGGTTAGATAGTATAGAGTTTCCAGAAATGTAGCCATAACCATAACTGCTATATCGCCTCTATGGGCAGTAACCCCAAAAGCTTCGATAATTAAACGGGTTTGAACAAGTTTATCGTCCATTTCAAGCGACGACTATACGGCGGGTCGAAAAGGGGAGGACAACTCTCGTACCTCGGAGGCTTTTCGTGTGGATTGGCTACAAGGAAGAACCTGGCCATAGTCCATAGTGAGGCCTAAGCAGATTTAAATTTTGTTTGATGTCGATGAGCGTTTGAAATTCTAAAATCTTAATCTTAAAATCTGCTTTGAAATATGCTTTAAAAAAATCTTCCACACGCATATGCCCGAATTAGCCAACTTAATAACATATCTTAATACAGCAGAGGCCTTAAAATTACAAAGGTGTGTGAAACTGAAATTTTCCGCATAGTTTTATGATTATTTTTCCAGTGTTTCTGAAATTGAAAACTTCCTTCATGTAAATATTCAAGGTCAGCAAGTAAAAAAAAAGATTTCCGGACATTTTATAAAGGTGAATAATGTACATATTTAAAAAATATTTTGATATTATACTTTATGCCCACCACTGCATGTAGTCATACATACAATCGTTACTTTATCATTTGCTAATAATCTTCACGCTTTCCCCTCCCAAATCTTTTCAGCTATGGACGGTGTCCTACCAAATTGTCAAATCAAATGTGATGCTGAGCCCTGCAAAAATGGTGGCATATGCAAGGAGAATTTCGCCAAACAAGAGTCGACATGCGATTGTGAACACACCAGCTTTTTGGGTGAATTCTGCATGGAAGAGAAGGGTGCCGATTTTAGTGGCGAATCGACATTGTTGCGTAAATTCGAACTTACCGGCAAAGTGGACTTTGTGCTATTGCAATTGGCATTCTCCTCTTTCGATTTGCGACGTGCCAATCGTGTGATGTTGTTATTGCAACCGACTGGTGATCGCAGTTATTACCTGATGGTAGCCATTAACGCCGATGGTCATCTGTTATTCGAAGAGGACCGCGAAGGGCCGGCGGTGGGTGCACAAATCGAACGAAGCTTTCTGAATAATGCACGCCATTCCATCTACTATATACGCAATGGCAGTGATGCCACACTGCATATTGACCGCGAAAAGGTGCCATTGACAAAGATACAGACACGTGCACCGGTGCCAACGGGTGGTGCGGGCGGAAATCGGGTACAAATTGGTGGCATCAATACGACAGATGCGAGATTTGCTGTGTTCAAGAGCTACAGTGGGTGTTTGTCGAGTAAGTAGCAATTTGGAGGCTTGTTTGTTGGTGTGAGTGAGTGCCCAGTGTTTGTGGGTGCTTAAGTGAGTTTACACGTGTGAATGGTGAAAAATTTGTTTAAGAAAAACGCCTTGGAGTCCTTGAGCTGGAAACATTTTTTTTTTTATTTTTTTTATTTAGGTTTTTTATTGTAATTTGTTAATCTAATTTTTTTTAAATAATTTTTTTTTTATTTACTTTTATGGCACAAGTATGTGTTTTTCTCAAAATAAATAAGGTTTTCTAGTTTGTAATTTATATTTAAATTTAAATAATTACATTAAATTACATTGATTCAATTTGAAAAATCATAACCACCTGCAGGCCGAATCGAACCAGAACCGGTTTGTAATTGCGTTTTATTTCTGACTTTGAAAATTCAAAAACAAATGGTTTTGATGGCATAAGTAGTGCGAAATTGTCGAACTGGTAGGCCATCGCTTTAGCTTATACTAGTTAATGAACTGGTATTTTTATCAGGGCTGCAAACCGGGTTTGAACCGAACCGGTTTTTGAACCGAACCGGGCTTCGAACCGAACCGCGAACCGAACCATTTTTATTTTGAAATGCCAAAACCGAACCGAAAACCACTCCAAAAAATGGTTTGGTTCGGTTCAAAAACCACTAAAGCATTTTTCATGTTTTGTAATAGACAAATTTGTCAAAAAATGCAACCCTATGGTAAGACTGCAAACAGTTTTGAGTTTAATGGCATCTCTGTGAGTTATAATTTGTCCATATAAAAAATGTTTGAATTGTTTTTATATGGAAGAAAATTAATATTTATCTTCTTCTTCTTCTTATTTGGCGCTGTAACCGCCTAAGCGATTTTGGCCGAGTCCAAAACAGCACGCCAGTCATTTCTCTTCTGTGCTAACTGACGCCAATTGAAAATGCCAAGTGAAGCCAAGTCCTTCTCCACCTGGTCTTTCCAACGCAGAGGAGGCCTTCCTCTTCCTCTGTTCCCAGCATCGCGGCCCGCGTTGAATATTTTCAGAGCAGGAGCGTTTCTGTCCATCCGAACGACATGGCCAAGCCAGCGGAGCCGCTGAATTTTAATTCGCTGCACTATGTCTATATCGTTGTAAAGCTCATACAGCTCATCGTTAAATCGTCTGCGATATTCGCCATCACCAACGCGTAAAGGTCCGTAAATCTTTCGCAGAATCTTTCTCTCGAAAACTCCAAGAGCCGCCTCATCAGATGCTTTCATTGTCCATGCTTCCGCGCCATACACCAGCACAGGCATGATGAGTGACTTATAGAGTGTGATCTTTGTACGACGAGAGAGGACTTTACTTCTCAATTGCCTACTCAGCCCAAAGTAGCACTTGTTGGCAAGAGTGATTCTCCGTTGGATTTCAAGGCTGACATTATTATTGGTGTTAATGCTGGTTCCCAAATAAACGAAGTCGTCCACTTTTTCAAACTTGTAACTGTCAACAGTGACGTGGGTGCCAAGACGCGTATGCTCTGACTGTTTGTGTGCTGACAGGAGATACTTCGTTTTGTCCTCGTTCACCACCAGACCCATTCGCTTTGCTTCTCTATCCAATCCCGAGAAGGCAGAACAGACGTAGCCCTTGTTTTTACCGATAATATCGATGTCGTCGGCATACGCCAGCAATTGTACGCTCTTATAAAGTATTGTGCCTGAGCGGTTCAGTTCTGCGGCTCTTAGTATCTTCTCCAACATAAGATTAAAGAAATCACACGAAAGGGGGTCCCCTTGTCTGAAACCTCGTTTGGTATCAAACGGCTCGGAGAGGTCCTTCCCTATTCTGACGGAGCTGGTGGTATTGCTCAACGTCATTTTACACAGCCGTATAAGTTTCGCGGGGATACCAAATTCAGACATCGCGGCATAAAGGCAACTTCTCTTCGTGCTGTTGAAAGCGGCTTTGAAATCGACAAATAGATGGTGTGTGTCGATCCTATTCTCGCGGGTCTTTTCCAAGATTTGGCGTATTGTGAATACCTGATCTATGGTGGATTTTCCAGGCCTAAAGCCACACTGATAAGGTCCAATCAGCTCGTTGACGGTGGGCTTCAGTCTTTCGCACAATACGCTCGATAAGACCTTGTAACCTATGCTTAGAAGGCTAATTCCGCGGTAGTTGGCGCGTATGGCGGGGTCGCCTTTCTTGTGGATTGGGCAGAGCACACTTAAATTCCAGTCGTCGGGCATGCGTTCATCTGACCATATTCTGCATACGAGCTGATGCATGCACCTCATCAGCTCCTCGCCGCCGTACTTGAATAGCTCGGCTGGCAGGCCGTCAGCTCCAGCAGCTTTGTTGTTTTTCAGCCGCGTAATCGCTAATCGTACCTCGTCATAGTCAGGCGGTGGGACAGCTACTCCATCATCATCGACTGGGGACTCGGGTTCGTCTTCCTCACTACTTTCAACGCTGCTACCATTCAGTAGGTTATAAAAGTGTTCCCTCCATAATTTAAGTATATTCTGGACATCGGTCACTAGGTCGCCATTGTTGTTCTTACAGGAGTTCGCCCCGGTCTTGAAACCTTCCGTAAGTCGCCTAACCCTCTGGTAGAATTTTCGGGCGTTCTTCCTGTCGGCCAGCATCTCAAGCTCTTCGCACTCACGTATTTCGGCCTCTCTCTTCTTATTACGGCAAATACGTCTCGCTTCCTTCTTCAGCTCCCTATAACGGTCCCACATGGCTCGCGTTGCGCCCGATCGCAGCGTGGCCCTGTAGGCGGCATCTTTTTTCTCTGCGGCTTCTTGACATTCCTCATCGTACCAGTTGTTCTTTCGGGCTCGCTGAAATCCAACTACTTCTTCGGCGGCGGTACTTAATGATCGGGAAATGTGGTTCCACTGCTCGCGTACGTCGGATTGTTGAAGAGTGCTCTCAGAGAGCAGGTGTGTGAGTCGAGTGGCGAAGAAATTGGCCGTCTGTTGTGATTGCAGCTTTTCGACGTTAAGCTTTCCTTGCATTGTTGGGCGCACATTTTTTGCTGCACAGAGGCGGGTGCGTATCTTGGCTACAACAAGATAGTGGTCCGAGTCGATGTTTGGCCCTCGGAGTGTACGTACGTCCAAAACGCTTGAAGCATGCCTTCCGTCTATCACAACATGATCGATTTGGTTTCTCGTTTTTCGATCTGGAGACAGCCAGGATGTTCTTATGCTGGAACCTAGTACTACATATTACCATATTTCGGGCCCCGGCGAAGTCGATCAGCCTCAGTCCGTTATCGGACGTTTCGTCGTGGAGGCTGAATTTTCCGACAGTGGCGCCAAAGATCCATTCCTTGCCCACCTTGGCATTAAAATCGCCAAGCACGATTTTGACATCGTGTCGGGGGCAGCGCTCATATGTACGTTCCATGCGCTCATAGAAGAGATCCTTGGACGCCTCATCCTTCTCTTCCGTCGGGGCATGGGCGCAGATGAGCGAGATGTTGAAGAATCTAGCTTTGATGCGGATTGTGGCTAGACGTTCGTCCACCGGGGTGAACGCCAGTACTCGGCGACGGAGTCTCTCTCCTACCACGAATCCAACACCGAATTTGCGCTCCTTTACGTGGCAACTGTAGTAGACGTCGCAAAGCTTCACGCTTACTTTACCTTGCCCCGTCCATCGCATTTCTTGGATGGCGGTGATGTCAGCCTTTGTCTTCCCGAGGACATCAACCAGCCGGGCAGAGGCACCTTCCCCATTAAGGGTCCGGATATTCCAGGTGCATACCCTTAAATCATAGTCCTTTATACGTTTGCCGTGGTCGTCATCAGAAAAAGGGGGTCTCATCCGAGGCTTGTTGGAATTTTTCATTGGGCGGGGTTTTAACGTGGCGGGACCCAAACCCAGCGCACGCGAAGTTTTACGCCTTCTCACTTTAGCTCGCTCCCAAACGGGTGTTTGGTTGCTACCCAGAGGATACGTGGATATAAATATCCGGACGTTGTGAGCTGCGATTTGAACCGTACGCACAAGAATCGCTTCTGGCCACTCCCAGGTGAATGGCAGTCAAAAGTTTTCCACTTCTGCGCACGGAACCATCCTCCATTAATATTTATCACCGTCAGCAAAAAAAATCAAAGCCGGAAAAACATTTTCAAAAATCAACTTAAACCTGAAAAAATGTTTCTACAAACTTTGAAGAATTTTCACAATTTTTTCACAAACTTTTAAACTTGGATTTATTCAGTTTTAGTTCGACGACGAACTATACAAAAAAAGTAAACTTTACATAAGCGAAAAAATATAGCCAAAATTGTTAAAATTTCGCGTCCCTATTTATTTTTCCACTGCTATACCTAACTGTGGTTGTTTGAGTTTGATCACAATAACAAAGCCTTTTATATTTTATATACATAGATTTGTAATATTTGTATCCTTTGGCATTAAAAAATTTAACCATTTGAACCGAACCGAACCGCGGTTCGGAAAAACCCATGTACCGGTTCTTGAACCGGTACAAGATTTTTCTAAGTGGTTCAAACCACTGAACCGAACCGCACCGTTTTTTTTTTTTTTGAGTAGTATGCAGCCCTGATATTTATTTACTGGTTTAGTTTTTCACAGCAGGGTAGCTATAACTACACATTTACATATGCATGTAGATTAGGGTGGTCCAAAAATGCGAAAAACGGGAGAAAGTAAAGTCGAAATTTTTATGCTCTCACTCCCTAGGATTGTTCTATACCGACAAAATATACCCTTATTTTTTTATTTTGAAATCAAAAAATATTTTAAGGTTGCTCAAAGCGCCAAAAGTTTTCCATTTAGTTTATATCGTTGCCTTAATATAGAAAGGCCCTATCTCACATCGTCGCTGAAATGCACAAATCCGTAACTAACTAAAATCTTTTATTGCATAAAACGATGTGAGGCCACATAATTCGATCAAATGCATCATAATCAATTAAAACGTAAATTTTCGATTTTTAGTTAGTTACGACTTTTTGTAAATCAGCGACGTTGTCAGATAGGGCCTTTCTATATTAAGG